TGAAATAGATATAAATACAATTTTGGTAGAATTCCCCCCTCGATTATCATTAATATTAATGCCTCTTACGATAACTCTGGCACTGCATGACGCCGCCATTTTCCCAGGAATATAACTCACTGCGTATTGCGTATGTCCAAAGCAAGCTAGTTCAGACAGCCAAGATGAACCAGTTTAAAATAAAAAGTCTTCTCAAGACAGGTCGCAAGCTGGGTTTTTTAAACTGGTATATTTGCCCGACCATTGCGTTCAGAGGACAAAGTTAAACTGGTTTAACGATCGTCAGGGTTTTAAGACCAGTTCAACTTGAGCGTCTGAACGGACTATTTGAGTAAAACATGGAACTTATTTAACTATCGGCATGGTTAGCTGTAAGGATATCGAAAGCGATATTTGAATTAAAAATCAAGCAAGTTAAACACCTACATGTAGATGTAAATAAAATGCTCAATAATATTATTTTGAGAATGAACTCTAAGCAGTCATGGATGTCATGTACAGACGGGGATTAGTATGATTACTCTTTCTAGAAGACATGATGCCACTTCTGTTCTCCAAGAGGTTTGCAGTTGCTGACAGTAATTAATGTCAGATTATGCCATGACCTGACAGGAAAAGTTACTTAATTCTCACTTTCGAAAATAAATGAATAATAAATGAGACAGTAGTCTTTCATGTGGATGTTCATGTTGGCTTACTTTACAATACATTTTGCACAAGAAGATTGAATTATTGATAAGTACATGTTACATGTACCATGCAGCGGATATTAGTATCTGATTGTTAAAACACAAGATCGCAGATACCCTGGGAATTAAGATAGTTTTTTTTTCTCTCTTGATGAAATGTTAATACTGTCATAAATCATGTAGATATAAATTCTACGTAGGGGTACATCAATCATTACTGATTAAATCTTAGAATTGGAATCTTTATTCACCATCTTATTATTGAAATGGAGTGAAAAGTGAATCAGTCGATATTGAAATTTCGCATTTGTTGGTATCGTCAAAAAAAAAAAAAAAAATATTTAAGTCTTTGAAAAAGACAAAAAGGAAGCATACTCTGCTTCATGCATGACATAGCAAACCATATGTGACCGGCCGCATCTAAATGAGTCCAAATACGCGAGAATCAATAATGAGATAAAGACAAAATAAGTGAAAATATTGATTTTGAACGAAATTGAGATTTTCACAAAAATGAGTCTATAAATATACTATCTATCGACACAGAAGATCAAAATAGCAATAAAACATTTTAAAACACCTGTATTTGAACGTTTTGTAAGAGTACTGTATTCTTAAATCTGTCCCATTTCTTAAAATTCTCGGCGAAATTAGTTATTTGTCTTCGCTCGCAGCGGGATTACCGGTCATTCCTCTTGCATAACAATTGGCATCGTTGTAAAACGGAGCATCTCTAGTTTATAAATATGATCAAAATATTGTCGATGAATTGATTTTGAACGGATACAATTGAGTTTTAAAACAATCCAAAAATATAAATAAACTCCGCCTGTTGCCATGCTGTCCACACAACTCCTTTGCTGATTGGCCCAGACACCTCGTGCAAGACATTGTCCATAAATATTTGGTTTTGGCGATAATGTTTTTTGGTACTTACATGCGATTCACTCTGATAAGTGGCAGAAAAAAAAAAAATTCTGATCGTAGAGATTGCCGTTGAGTGTTAATCGAAACCATGTGGCTGATGATGTAAATTAATCGACAAGCGGGTGTGTGTCATTGAGTAATACTATTACTAATCAACTGTCACGGGTCAATGATAAAGCTGTCGACAACTCATTATTTACTCCAAATAATTAATCCAAGTGGTGATTATTTGATATCTCATATCATCTTTAAAAAAATAATCTATAGGCCTTAAATGGAAATAAACAAAATGGCCAATAATTTTCTTTTCGAAGAGAATTTTATTGATAGCTGAATTCCGTTTACCATCGCTTCTTCATACGGCATGCAAAGTAAGGAATGCATCTGGGATATTATTGTTTAAAATTCTCTTATCACAATGGGTCGAAAAAATGAGAACGACCAACGAGCCGAAATGCGACGATTGTCAGTATGCCATTGAGTATCCTCTGAATAATGTTGATATTTACATCAAAGCCAAAATGCATGAAAGTGAACGTAGGCATTTCTTGACTATGAAATTGACATTTCTATAGGGACTCATATTTTGATAATGTCACGGTACCTGAAAATAATAATAGACCTATCGTACACGCCAAATCTTATTTTAATTCACGCGTTAAATGAACACGCGTACAGCTGTGGCGGCTTCTTTGATGATTATCCAATCAACAATCTTAATCTCCTGACCACTAGCTGGCACTAAGGTGCTAATTAATTGATGAGATTAACTGAGTTAATCTCACTAAAGTTATATTATACACAACAGACTACTAATGTATAGATTGTTCTTCAGTATAACACTATCATGTGAATATTATGCCGTATGTGTTGTGGATGTTTCGTTACGAAAGGAGTGCATTTATTACGATTTTCGTCCTCAGCACCCTTGAAATCCTAAATAAAAAACATATTAAACGACAAAATATAGCAAATAAATTGCGGAAATAGTCGGATAAAACTTTTACTACGATTTTCGTCTTCAGCACCCCTGAAAACCCATGGAAAGATATATTCAACGACAAAACAGCAGATAAATGGCCTGGCTGCTATGGGATTTTGTTTTGGAACATACCAAATCTTTGACTTGCTTTTTCTCAAAACTTACTTTTGTGAGTTGGGTAGCTTCTAATGGACACAGCTCAGTCAATTTTTGCCCAATTCAAACAAACTATACAACAAATTGAAGGTAATGAGTTGGAGATTGTGAAAATAACAATAACTCAATTTTCAAAAATTTCCTCATTGTGACTCAGTATGCTGTGGGGGGTCACATATATAGTGATATATGATGGTGAAAGTGACCGTTTCTGAGCATATTCTGAATTGCTTTCATTAGGAAAGCTAAAATATTAAATCTCAGAAGAACCCACATTTGATGCAAATAATATGGAGCTTCTTAGTTATTCTCCATTTATCATGTTCTGCACACACTATAATTTATTTTCAAAAGTAACAATTTCCACCACCATTATGGACATATCTGTCATTGCACATCTAAAAGTAATATAAATGAACCGATTGCCTTCATTAAGTTGACAAGTTTAAGTGTGACATCTGCAAAATTTAAAACTAACCTGTACTCATTATTATCCTCTGCATGTGATGAATAAAAAAGCGAGTCCAATCTCATTGCTTGAGAGTGAAGATAAAATGTTAGCTGTCGGGTAAAATGTAGGATAATTGACACATAAAGTAAAATTCGACCACCTTATGTGTCTGTTTTATAATTAATGCCACATAAGCTATTGACTGGCTTACCTTAAAGCTAAAAAGAAATATTGTTTTGTAATATTTTTGGTCTCCAGCTTGGAACAGATTATTCCAAAAAACAATCCAATGTGTTCTTATTTGACAAAAATAACCACGCCAGTACAAAATGCCTTTACAAAAAATTTAAATATTAGATAAATATATTAATTACAATGAAATATACAAAATGCCTTTGCAAAAAACTTAAATATTAAATAAATATATTAATTAGTTATCCATACATTTATGTAGTCACAACAATAGGGAATTAATGGCAATTTGGAATGTTGAATCTCTGGGTCCATGCCACCTTGTAATAGACTGGGATAGTGCTTTATTCAGGTCCTGGGGCCTGTTTCACGAAATTTTAACTAAGATAAAAATCCAAATTTTAGTAATTTGATTGGTTAATATTAGATTGATTTTAGTGCTTAGCCAATCAAAATTGAAGTATCTACTAAAATTTGGATTTTATCTTTAGTTAAAATTTCGGGAAACAGGGCCCTGAACACATACATGTATACAGAGCATGCAGATGCTTGGGAATATTATCATGCACGCACATACAGTGTACACTTACTTCATCAAATCATTTGCCTTTCTCTGATTGATTGGGTTTAGGAAGGATCATATTCAGACACATTTAACATTTATTAGCTGAATTTTAACAATGAAAAAATGAAATCAGGGACAAAAATAGTATAAAACCCAACTTTGATTGAAGCCAACTATTGGAAAAACACTAACCAAATGACAGTGGAGGTCTTTGTTGATTCATTCTATATTTTACATATCATATTATTTTTTTAAAGATCTCAATAACTAATAGAAAACCAACAAGTCTAGCAAGGAAGAAACTTAAAGTGTTGTCCATGTCACTATTAATTAAAAAGCTCCTATTCTTTTAGTCAATTTGAGTAATGCTTGTGAGAGAAAGCGAGAATCGATGTTCTATAAACACTGGCTCCCTTGATGCTTTATTGTGTGTGAGATCTAGTCGAGACAAGATGATATAAGAACAGATTATTTGTTTTTTTTAGAACAAGCAAGTGATACTTGAGAAAATTTATCATCCTCAAAACTCTTCCAGGAGTAATAAAGTAATAACATTTGTTTAACCTTTCTTGCAGGATTTGTTCATCATGCTGCTTTTCTATGGTGCAATCCGGCATCTGATTCTGACTTTTTCTATAAAATAGGAAAGGTTAAGGAAGCCATTGTGATGCTGTAAATTGTTTACTTTATAATGTGAATTGTTTACCTTATTAACCCACATTAGTTTAGTAAAGATCTTAACAAAATTTAATGAAGTCTGGTAACAAACATTTGGAAGGAAAATGTTGCCCCAAATTTTCAAAGTTTGTCTCCGTGAGCAAACGCAAATGTTTGTAACATGAAATAAACTGTATATTTTGTGTGGTCTCATATTGTGCATTGTAGTATATGAGTCGATAGATGTAACAACTTACAAAGGTTGTTTATTTTTCTTGCTTAAACCATGAATTCAGAGTGGTTTATAGGCTTGTTCTTATCTTTTATAATGTATCCATTAAATCAATGATTTAATGAATTTCTTTTATACTATATTTTCAGATTTAAGAACTCACAAGGTATTGATAGAACATTACAGTTCAGTGTCATCAAGTTTTACCATACGACATACTGAAGAACAAAAAAGTAGGTATACTAATTAATATCAATATCAATTACGGTAGTCTTTTCCCCGTCTGTAGATATGATAATATTTATACCATCCATTACAAAGCCCCCACAGTGTAATGATGGAGAAATATATGTAAATATCAGAAGAAGGGAGCATAGAAAATCTTTATTTGCTGTGACGGCTATGACACAAAATTGTTATACATGTAGCAAGCGTTCAAAGATATTACGGTTTCATTTAAAATTGGATTCTTCAAAACAGAAGGCATCTTGCCGCATTATATTCCTTTAATTAAACATCCTACTGAATTCTTAGTTTTAGGAGATGAATACAAGTTACACAATTAGCATAGAACTAATCATAAAGTTTATGACAAGTACATATTTATATTAAGAGTAGCTTTGAAAAATCTTAGATCAGTGAGCAAGAGTATTGAACAAAATTGAGATGGAGTTTTCGAAGAATGAGAGGTTGGTAGTATTAGTAGGCTTGGATTATATTACTGAAAATCAATATGTTCAAATCAATCTATCACACTATTACCAGTAATTGAGCTCATATTTCTTCTATTTAATGTTAAAGAAACATGAAACCGGCAATGTCTCAATGAGATCTTGATTTCTTCTTATTAACGAGAGTAAAGATAAAAATCAATTTGTATTTTAAAGCAACACTCTGTGACTCTATCCAGCATTTGTGTTAAGGAATGAATATATTGGGGTGAATCATTAAACTAAGTATAATTAATAGCTTGGTCGATATGAATAACATATAATAAACTCTTCTTGCAAACTCATTTATTCTTAATCATGCCTCTTAGAAAATGCAATAAGTTTTTATGGAATGACGATTTTTTAGGTGTTTGTAATACCATCAGTGCCCCGGATGCTCAATTTAAGAAAAAAGTTGTAATAATACTACATAAAATATAGCGTGCCCTGAAAATCTTCCGATGTTCTAACATAAACGTTGTCATGTAAAATTTGTGCTGTGATTATTTGACGCAGTAATCATTTCGTATCAGCTGACGACGATAACATGTCAGAATGATGTTTTCACAAATGCATAAATGCACCCTAGATTAATTCTCTCGAACAGAACATAATTTAATCAACAGAATGGGAATGTAGAAAATCACCGTTTTATGGTTCAGACATGGGGTATAAATATGTCTTTTAAACAGCTAGGGTCAGTACATACTCCTCGCAGTGTTTCGTTATATTAGACCTAATCCCACCCAAACACTAACATAATCAGCGCAAATTTGTGTCCCAAATTATGACTGGTTAAGTCAGATCAACAACCAGTACATAACAATGTAAAAAAATCAATCAGGATTAACCAGAGCTCTGAATATTTCGCTCAATTAACTAATACATATCAAAATATTGCAGAGAAACTAATTGTTTGATAAACGAGGCTATCCAAAATAGCTACAATGTAAACATTTGGTAATCGCAGTGAACAGGGAATCTTTTTATTACCTCTTGGACTACACAGCTGATCAAGAGAAGGGCTGTCATGTTATGTATTGTGTTTCAACAAACTTTACAGAAATACATGTGCTTTTTTGATGAAATAAATAATTCATGGATTTTCTTCACAAAAATGGATAAACATTATCGAATATTTAAAGGTAGGCAGTAATAATTGGTACACGTTTATAGAATTATATCGGAGATTTGGGCCTAAGAATTTTTGTTCCAATAGCGAGTTTCATCAATGGACAAATTTACCTATGCAAGTATCAGTGTTTGTTCCTGATGCATCATCCATGGGTAAAATTTTTGTACGCCCACATTTTCATGTGGACGTATTATGCCATCGCCCCTGTTTGTCCGTCCGTCCACAATTTGTTTGTGGACACTCTACAGGTCACAATTTTTATCCGATTTCAACAAAACTTGAAATATAGGTTTATCTCCCTAAGATCTTGGTTCCTTTCGATATTGGCATTATTGGACAATAACTTCATGGATTATGGCCCCTGATTGTATGAAAAATCACATTTTTAGCTTGTGGACACTCTAGAGGTCACAATTTTGATCCGATTTTGATGAAACTTTTAATGCATGTTTATAACCCAAAGATCTTGTTTTCTTTCAATATTTGCGCATATTTGATTGTAACTTCCTGTATTTTAAAAACCATTTAGATCACTATTCCACCATAATGAAGGTTGAATTGGAATTATGGGAAAATCGAAACTTAAAACATATCTTTATATTCCAAAAATCTCAATCCCTTTTGATATTTGCGCATTTCAGACCATATCTTTCTGGATTATGGCCCGTGATTTTACAAAAAATCGTTTTTGTTTTTAGCTTGTTCTCTATTCATCTCTTGCAAAATGTGGGCGTATCCTGCCTGGCAGCCGCTGGTTCTTGAAATCAGCACTAACATAAACACCCCAGTTAAGTCATGAAAATTCCCTATATTTTACTTGGGAGAGATTTGATTGGACGATGAGAATGGATCGCTTCGTCAAAGACTCAAGTTTTCAGTCTAGAGAGGGTTTCTTGGGCCATTGCTTCAGGAATATGGGGTCAGTATAACTACAGATTTGTCGAAGACCACGCCTCAACAAAACCAGCTCACCCCTATAAATTATTTGATTCATCACTGTTGACTCTGAAAATAGAAGTTATGTACTGATTATTCAAGGTTTGGTGTTTAAACACTAGAAAAACACCCTAAAGAACACTATAAGTGAAATGCATAATAATGGTATATCAAGTATATGTATGCTTGAAAGTCTTTTGTTTTGAGATGGCAAAGATGGCAATATAGTTTTACCTATATTTTCACACACACATATTATGTCCCAGAGACCAAATGCTTAATAAAGATGTCTTAAGTTACATATATATTATAATAACAATAAAATATAACAACTAAATTAATACGCAGTGCTTATGTTCATAAGACCAAGAATCCAATATTGTCATTTTCAATTGTCCATTATCAATTTAAAAAACCTTGTAGATGCTCAATAGATTAAAGTTATACCTGATTGACTTGAAATTTACACACAATGTTAAAGTTAATAATATCATTTGATGATTAGAAATACCAGATTTGGGTCAAACTAATATAATATGAACATGAGAAAAAGAGATCTCCCCCCCCTCCCCCCCCAACAATTTCTTGGCATACTTTGCTGGTTGAATTCTGATTTCAGACACAATATATCACAATACAACATCGCAACTTCTGATCAAAGCTTCCCTATTTCCAAATTTCCACCATTGGTTCTATTTATTTACAGAATAGTTCTTACTGGTCTGCTTTATATAATATGTTTTATTTGCAGAATTGAACACATACTTCGTTATTGACAAAATAAAGAAAGGGATCGAGAAAGATGGTTCAACTAATAATCTTGTAGTAATACCAATGGAAGAATCAGAAGATCAACTCAAGGTACATAGTGATGATTTATGTTAATGTGGTTGTATTGTTGTCACCCAGGTCCATCAGGGAGCCAACTTATTGTAAATGTTTCACATATAGTACAGGTTACAGTTTTTGCAATTCACTTTTTGTACGCCCACATTTTCATGTGGACGTATATTGTCATCACACCTGTCCGTCCGTCCATCCAGACGTCTGTCCGTCCACAATTGTTTGTAGACACTCTACAGGTCACAATTTTTATCCGATTTCAATGAAACTTGAAATATAGGTTTATCTCCCTAAGATCCCCATTCCTGTCGATATTGACATGTATCGGACCGTAACTTCATAGATTATGGCCCCTGATTGTAAGAAAAATCGTGTTTTTTGCTTGTGGACCCAATAGATGTCACAATTTTTAACTGATTTTGTTGAAATTTGAAATGTAAGTTTGTAATCCAAAGATCTTGGTTCCTTTCGATATTCCCGCATATCGGACCGTAACTTCCTAAATTATGGCCTCTGATTGTACGAAAAATCATGTTTTTTTTAGCTTGTGGACCCTATGGAGGTCACAATTTTATTCTGACTTAAAAAAACGTTTGAATATATCATTGTTACACCTTAATGATGGTTGAATCTGAATTTCGGGAAAATCGAAATGAAATTGCCAGACAAAATGGCCGCTCTTTGTACGCAAATTGTGTATAAGTATTTAATACAAAGGTTATGGACCCTCTAGAGGTCAAAATTTTTATCCAATTTTGATGAAACTTAAAACATATCTTTTCATTCCAAAAATCTCAGTCCCTTTTGATATTTGCGCATTTCAGACCATAACTTTCTGGATTATGGCCCCTGATTGTACAAAATATTGTTTTTGTTTTTAGCTTGTTCTCTATCCATCTCTTGCAAAATTTGGGCATATTCTGCCTGGCAGTTGTGGTTTAGAATTGTTTGATTCAGAGTTGCCCTACATTTTTTTTTTTGTGTAAAGTTTCTGCTTGGATTGTTGTGCTTGTGAAACACTATTGAAATTTGAATTCACAAAAACGTTTTTCATAGAGTTACTGTCCCTGTCACTGAAACTTTGTAAGGACTGTACAGAACACAGAACAGAAATTTTTTAAATGTTTTATTTTTTTCAAACTAACTGGGATTCTATGGGTAGTCACACAACAATTCTAGTATAGTTATAGCCTCTGTCAGTTTAAGTTAATCTAGTAAACATTATAGGCCTACAGATGAGAGATTCTGAGAATCTATTTTCCAGTTTGTTGGAATTGTTCAAAATTTGCTTATCTGGAAGAATCACATCAAAATTGATAATTGGGCTTCAGTTTTACACAAAGTTATTGCTAATGTCAGCATATTCAGGAATGCTCTATCAGATAAAAGATTTTGAAATTCAGAGCTGCCTATCAATTTTATATGTAGGCCTACAAGTAGTTATTGGAAAGTCACCATTCAAAATTCTGCTGGTGGGTGTATATTCATTACTTCATTACATTATGTTTTAAAACTTGGTGTGTTTCCCATTGTAGCATTAGAAAGAACCATATCCAATTTCAAAATATTTCAAGTTGTAAATTCATTTGCGTTTTGTACAGTTATCTTTCCATTCACATTTTAATTGTTGAGTCTTGAAAACTTGATGCAGGACACAGTTCTGAATGGCATAGGTCAATGAGATTTTTTTTTGGGAGACAAAGAAGAACCCTATTGAGGGATCATATTTTTCTGCTTTAAAGCTTAATCAATAGTGGGATTGCTCTGTGGGATTAGTTGACAATGATTTTTGATTTACTGCAGACAACTTTACTGCTTGTTGTCATGTAGGGAGCGTGACAGAAGACACTTTTATTTGTTCATATGAAGGGTAAAAAGTGATTATTCTTACTAATGGTAGTATTGGAGGGAACATGCTTTAATCCTATCGCTTCGAAAAGTGTCAATTGTCTGAAATTCCTAGGCTACATGTACCAACACTGACATCTTGAATAGCCTATGTTAACCAATATATTCAAAATATCACCTACTTTATCATGGCATTTAATATTTGCTTAGTCCTTAACCTTCAGCCTTTAGAGAAATAAATGTGTTACCATATTTATTAATAATAAGTTGTCATTCAATTGACTTGAAATTTATATACAGCATTTATGTTCACCAGATGAAGAATCCTATCGATTGTCAATGATTTCCTTAAATACTTTCATTGACGTCTTTGAAAAATTTTGCGGACGTCTATGGAATGCTCGGTCAACATGGCTATGTTGGATATATAATGTTTTACAAAAAATATATAACAAATTGTCCCACTCTTTTGACCATTACCCTATGATTATAAATCCCTTTAAAATAAACTGGAATATTCAAGGCGGATTTTTAAACAATTTAAATGCTCACATTTTCATCCAAAATTCTTTGTTTTTAGGGTGAAAAACAAGCAGAAAATATTACGAGTGATGGAGACGTGGTAATCAATCATCTTGATAGAGAGGTATGAACTATGTGTAACCCTATTTATGTGATTAGAAACTTTGGAACGAGAATCACAGTATGGCTTTTGAATGTGGGTTTCCGATTTTCAGATTTTTGCCATTTTCAGATGACATGTAACTGAAAGGTGTATTACGTACAGAAAAAACCTGAAATATGATTTGATAGCAATTTGGGAAAATATTTCTTTATATCGTGTAAAATGCGTATTTTCAAAAAATGAATTAGTAAGTTTAGTTTAGGGCAATAGAATATAAAGATGCATGTATAGTAATGGTTATTTTGGTGTTTTTGAAATCCAATTCAAACAGGTGTTGTAATGGACTGTGCAGACCAGCTGTCCCCCTAAAAGATAGAACAAACAATATCAGTCCTTGAAAAGGCCACAGGCTATCCAAAATGTTAAAAGATGTAACTAGATTGTCAAGACTAACACAAAACATTTGCTACTAGAAACTGCTGCTGGAAAATAAAAACATTTTGTAGTTTTGGTAGACTAAACTGTCCCAATGAAATATAGAATGTGTTCATATAGTAACTTGTATAGTAAAATAAACCGAATTAAAATACAGATGTGACGTCACCCTTTGATGTTGGCGTACCATTATTTCAAATAATTGTACGGGCAACTTGCAAATCGTACCTTGTCAAATATTAGACTCGAGTGACGTATTTCACTGTAAACGCACGTGTGGAGTGTCTGTATTTTAAGATGTTTAATGGTCTCGAGCTGAGACATTGCGTAATATATTGTAAAAACACTCGGACCTGACGGTCCTCTTGTTGTTGCAATATATTACTTAATGTCTCGCTCTCGACCATTAAACAATACATAAAACCCCATGATGTCAAGCTCCAGAATAAATCAGCATCTTAAACATTGTATGATATACTGTTATGCAATGAAAACGGGCCACCCTTATTAATGGATAATTGTGAATCCCATTTGGGAGATAAACTTTAATGTAGCAGCATCCGACCACAATCATAACACACAAGAATTTTGTTTTACAGTTCCTTAAACGCACCACAGATCAATTCTTTCAAACTTAAAAAATTGAATTCAATAGAACAGGAATATTGGAATCGCAATTTTATGGTGCAGATATCGTGTATAGACTCAATACAACTCCTGCACCTGAACACCTGAAGTCAATAGGTAGAGAATTACTAGACTTGAACCTGATCATTACAAAATATATTGTCAATCTAGAATCTTGGTTTGAATTTTCTATAAAACATTTCTTATTATCTTTACAGAGTTCTGGCATCAATGGAGTTACCCCATCTACACTGTTAACACGTAGACATAGTGATACATCAATGGATAAAAATATGGAAGACAAAGGTTTGTATTTTTACTATTTAGTTTATATCTTCCCATCTCCATAATTTGTTACATAATTCAATGCTTAGTTTGTATCTGTTCTTTTTTCTCTTTGTATGTCAGTTTTGTTTAAACTAAGAATGAGTTTACTGCATAAATGGCCCGTAGGCTAATATGCATTAAACAGTAGGCTACTGAATGCTGATCTATGTTTATGGGTGGAAAACTTCAGTAATCAAAAGGTTAATGGTATTCAATCTTATGGCCAGTTATAGTTCATTGGTTGATAACCCATTAAGTGTACATAACACAGATCAGTATTATTGTAAATATAATTGCGTACCAGCACCAGTAGCCTAATGATTTATGCATATGTGCCCTAATATGAAATTTGTAACTCTTCCCGGTACATCAAATTGCACAGATATGTTTTTAATTGTAAAATTTTGAAAAAAACTGTTTAAAGGGAGATAACACGATGTTTGACTTCGCTTAATTGAATTTCAGAGTATTCAGGATAGTGTTTAATATTGTTCAATCACCATTAAAACTTGAAGTCTGGGTAGTTCCCATTTCCTTGTTATAGTGTCTCATTATAGTATCAGATGAATTTTGGATCAGGTACTGTTCCCCAATCGCTACTCATCTTGTTATTGTTGTTCTTCTTGGGGACAACGCTCTTTGTAAAAAGCCTAAGCTCAGCCAATTCAAGTATGATTTACATGAAATTTGGCATGCTTGTTCCAATTGTGCTTCAATTGACGAATTTTGATCTTTGATATGACGTGACAATTCCATGATGGAGGTTCCTGGTCAATACATGTATAGTACTATCATTTTTGTTTCACTAATACATATAAACATACTAAAAGGCTATTTCATTAATTCCAGAAAAATGAAGGTTCAGGATTAAATTCACAAATTTAAATGTTTTAATTTCAAATGTTTTCTGGGATTCTTAAATAGTGTAGGTCTAACTGAATAAACATAGACAAAGGCACAATGTAAAGTGATGTTAGCATAATGGATTTTACACTCAAGATGGGCCTTTGTTTTCTTCTCATTACTTCAATAGCAGAAAAGACCCCAAATTTGAGCAATTTTTCAGGCCTGGAAAATCCAAGCTATTTGACAGTTAAGGCTTGAACTTTGAGTATCTGACATATGGATCAAATGAATTTAATTCCAAACTCTGACTTCTTTTTTCTGGGACTTGGAATGTATATATAGTATGAGACATAACAAATAACTCATTTAATTTTTAGAATTAGAACAGCTTTTTGCTTCCTTATTTTAAAATGTTATTATTGTATGAATCAGAAAACATTGCTTTATGCCATGGACAGATTTAACAAATTATTTTTAAAATACGACGATTACAATGGGGCTTTTACTTCAACATTTTTCTCGCACTTGGAGCAAGTTATTTTTTCCACAGAATATGAATATTTGTAGCATTATCCTAATTTCTTCAATATATTTGCAAGTGTTTTTACACTAAAAACTATCAATTTAATTGTAGTATTTAATGTGCTTTAAGGTTAAATTCTCTGAAATTATAATTTTATGACACGTAATTTGACTGTCAGGTACGTCAAGTTCTGCAGCCAGTCATTTTCACAACCACTCAGTTAAGACTAGCGAATATGACTGAAACAAAGCCCTGGACAAAAATAGCTGGTAACAGATCACAAAATATTAAGTAAAACATCCAATTTATAAAGTCTTTAGAACCTCAATCCAAACTTTATTTTGACTCAAAGCACAAAGCAATATTTTCTGATGGTTCATAGCTCGACTAAAATATCATTTATAAATTAGTATAAGTTATAATACACATTAAGTGTGTTTAATACTATGTACTTTTATCTATTCTCTTATTTAAATTTAAGTTTTCACTATAAATCTAGTTTATTAATCACAGGGAAAAGTTACTGTAAATGGACTCCATGCTGCTTTCATCCGGCCTTTAGAAAATCCTGTAGTGACTCCCATTTGTGCTCATTTAGTTCTCACCCTTACCTGTCACTCAAAGCACAAGCTCCTCCTACACAACGTGGTATTTTCTTTTATTGTCACAAGCTTTATCTTTTAGTTTGAAGATTTAGGTGGTTGAAGGGTTTTTAGACTAAAGCTATAAATCTATGTGAATGTAGTGTGATGTACTTTATACGGAAATGGAAAATCATATTTGCATGAGCATAGTGCGTTTTCTTTTGACAATCTGTAGTCTAAATGGTCAAAATTTTGTAAATCTCAAACAATTATTCTTTCCTGCATTAAATTAATGCAGCATGCAATGTGTGTTACACATTTTCACACATACACATAGATCCCTAGCTTACCAGTAATAGAGGTTTTTTTTGGTGTTCGTTTTTTGATAGACCTTGCTAATATACATGTACATATTGCTGCAAAATTTTCATATGCCCACATCTCAAATGGAAATATGTTGTCATCACTACCAGAGGATAAACAGTATTAATTTTCAAATTTAGTGTGGAGCATTGGGATCGGAGAGAATGAACTGTGTTGATTTTCAGCATTCTAGGACTTTCTTTATGATGACTGAATGGTCTAATGCCAGAGTCAAGAGTCAAATGGCTTTGTTTCGATTCACAGCTTCTAAGTCGCCTGTCGAACATAATGGGTTTTCTCCAGGTCCTGCAGTATCCTCCCACTGCTCAAGACCAGTAGACGCAAGCGAATTATTGAAATAAAATTGATCTATTGTGCTTGAAATGTATGCTTATAACCCAAAGATCTTGGTTCCTTTTGATACTCACGTATATCGGGACAAAACTTCTTGAATTATTGCCCCTGATTGTACGCCCTAAGAATGACTGGGTTCGAATTTCGTATACATCGGCCAAAACTGACAGACAAAATGGCCGCCCTTCGTTCTCAAATAGCGTAAAAATATGGTATATCAAGGTTGTGGACCCTATAGTCACTATAGAGGTCACAATTTTTATCCGATTTTGTTGAACTTGAAATGTAAGTTTATAGCCCAAAAATCTCGGTTCCTTTCTATATTCACATATATCGGACCGTAACTTCCTGAATTATGGCCCCTGATTGTACGAAAAATCACGTTTTTAGCTTGTGAACTCTATAGAGGTCTTAATTTTTATCCGATTTAAAAAATCATATTATTATAACACCGTTACACCCTAAGGACGGCTGAGTTCGAATTTCGTGAAAATTGGCCCAAAACTGACAGATAAAATGGCCGCCCTTCGTTCTCAAATATCGTAAAAATATGGTATATCAAGGTTGTGGACCCTATAGAGGTCACAATTTTTATCTGATTTTGTTGAAACTTGAAATGTAAGTTTATAACCCAAAGATCTCGATTCCTTTCGATATTTGCGCATATCAATTGTAATTTCCTGAATTATGGCCCTTGATTGTAGGAAAAACTCCTTTCATTTTAGCTTGTTCTCTATCCATCTCTCGAAAATGTGGGTGTATCCTGCCTGCCCACTGCCAGTTAATTTCATTAACAATCTGGGGATACTTCGTGACCTCATTTAAACAAACTTACTATTAATTAATGATACAACAAATTAATTGTCAACAGACATCTTCCTTGATTTTTTGTTTATTTATTTTACATTTTTTTATTTCTTTAATTTTATGTTGCCTTTGTATGTTTTTTGCATGAATGGTATATTTTATTTACTGTTAGGTGATGGTTGTTCTTTTTTTTTGTCCCCCGCCTTTCGAAGAAAGCAGGGGACTATTAAAATGGGTTCGTCCATCTGTCTGTCTGTCTGTCCGTCACACTTTTTGGGACACAATAACTCATCTTCTAACTGAGGTACAATGTTCAAACTTGGTGTAGGTGTTTATTATGTTGATGCATCTTCTGCTTAGGGTAAGCAGAGATAAGCATCAATACCTTGACTAAGTTCGATAATGAACATTTTCTGCTCAGGGTAAGCAGACCGATAAACAATTTGATTGGCCGAGACTTTGGAACACAATAACTCTCCTCCTTATTGAGCAACAATGTTCACACTTGGTGTGGGTGTTTATTAGATGAATGCCTTGATGCAGTTCGAAGATGAGAATTTTCAGCTAAGGGTAAGCAGAGATAAGCAAATTGATTGGTTGATGCTTTGGGACACAATCATTTTAGTTCTAATTAAGTCAAGAGTGATGAAACTTGGTGTATAGTTTCATCACATCAATACCTTGACTAAGTTCGTTAATGAACATTTTCTGCTGAGGGTAAGCAATTTTATTGGTCGAGACTTTGAAACATAATAACTCTCCTTCTAATTGAGGTAGAATGTTCAAACTTGGTGTAGGCATTCATTAGGTGAATGCCTTGATGGAGATCGATGATGAAAATTGTCTGGTTACGGTAAGCAGAAATAAGCAATTTGATTGGTTGTTGCTTTTGGGCATGATAACTTTGGTTATAATTAATTGATAGCTATGAAACTCTGAGTATAGATTCATTATACCATTACCTTGACTAAGTTTGATGAGAACTTTCTGCTTTGGCTAAGGAGCGTTAAGCAATTTGATTGGTCAAGACTTTGGAACATAGTAACTCTGCTTTTAATTGAGGTAGAATGTTTAAACTTGATGTAGATGTTCATGAGTTCAGTTATTTACTTTTCGAGCTAAAGCTAAGCAATTTCTTTGACTTTGATTCTATCTGATAGAGAGTGATGAAACTTATTGTATAGTTGAAAATCAGTTTGATTGCTCGATACTTTTGACAAAGATAAATGTGCAATTAATTAATATGTGTCATCTATTTATTTCAGGATTTCAGGGGGTGGGGGGGACATCAGCCTCACTGTTGGCTTGTGTTAGATATAATTTTTATACGCCCACGTTTTCATGTGGACGTATATTGTCGTCGCCCCTGTCCATCTGGACGTCTGTCTGTCCACAATTTGTTTGTGGACACTCTACAGGTCACAATTTTTATCCAATTTTGACGAAACTTGAAATATAGGTTTATCTCCAAAAGACCTCAGGTCCTTTCGATATTGGTGTGTATCGGACTGTAACGTTATTGATTATGGTTCCTGATTGTACGAAAAATCACGTTTTTAGCTTGTGGACACTCTAAAGGTCATAATTTTTATTGATTTTGATGAAACTTACAATGTATGTTTATAACCCACAAATCTCGGTTCCTGTCGATAAAGCGCATATCAAACCATAACTTCCTGTATTATGGCACCTGATTGTATAAAAAATCACATTTTTAGCTTGTGGACCCTGTAAGGTTACAATTTTTATCCAGTCCTTCACGTTTATAAAATTGAGCTGCAGCCATAAAAAGCTCCTGCCAATTTCAAAAATGAGATAAAAGCTCCTGTAAAAAAACCTCTTCTTAATTATATTGCAAGAGTAATTCTATATTTTCTTGAATGAAGGAGAGCCAGATTGTATTTATGCTTTCTAGTCTTGTTTAATATTTGGTAAATGTTTGGTGCATATGGCATCATCAGAATTATCGTCATGGAAACTGATAGCTCAAATGTATGCAGTTTAAAAATAAACAAAAACTGAAAGTGGTTTATTGATCTCATTATTTACGAGAGCGATTTAGCTAATTTTGAGGAGTCTTTAATGACTCATGCAAAGGAAAGTTAAGTTGTGTTGAGTGGAGCAGGAGCGAAAGCTCACCTTAAACGTGAAGGACTGTTTATCCGATTTTAAAAACCGTTTAAATATATCACTGTTACAACATAATGAAGGTTGAGTTTGAATTTCGGGAAAATCGAACCAAAATTTTGATGAAATTTAAAATATATATTTATATCCCAAAAATCTCAGTTCCTTTCGATATTTGCACATTTCAGAACATAACTTCTTGATTTATGCCCCTTATTATATGAAAAATCGCTTGTTCTCTATCCATCTCTTGCAAAATGTAGAGTATCTTGCATGGCAGCTGCTGGTTTTTTAATAAATTATTTAGAATTTCTTCTGGTACACAGGGTTCTTGGTAGTTATTCTATAGATTCACTTGCTGCATGTCATCATGGATTATTATATGTATTTCCTCTCTTTATTTTCCTACCCACAGTTCTGTGGCCATAAAGTGTGGTCACCAAATGACATGTTTTCAAACTCTGTAGTATATTTAACTTTGAATATATAAGTAGCCGTTTTTCCATAAGTATGTGTTATAGTTTTTATACGTCCACATTCATAATGTGAACGTATTATGCCGTCGCCCCTGTCTGTGTGTGTGTGTGTGTGTATGTATGTATGTGTGTGTGTGTGTGTGTGTGTGTGTGTGTGTCTGTGGTTCGCCTACAGGGCGCAATTCTTCATGGATTTTCTTCAAACTTGGTATACTTATTCCTTATACCCCAAGGAAGATCCCTATTGTTTTTGGTGCATGCCCGACCCCCCGGGGCAGAGCCACGCCCATTTCTAGTATTTGTTTGTTTGTCGTCTACAGGCCACATTTCTTAACTAATAATCTTGAAACTTTGCATACACATTCTTTGTACCCTAAGGAACATCCCTATCGTTTGGGGTGCATGCCCAACCCCCAGGGGCAGAGCCACGCCCATTTTCTTTTCGTGTGTCTTTGTGTCGCCTACAGGGCGCAATTCTTACTGGATTTTCTTCAAACTTGGTATACTTATTCCTTATACCCCAAGGAAGATCCCTATTGTTTTTGGTGCATGCCCGACCCCCAGGGGCAGAGCCACGCCCATTTCTAGTATTTGTTTGTTTGTCGTCTACAGGCCACATTTCTTAACTTATAATCTTGCATACACATTCTTTGTACCCTAAGGAACATCCCTATCGTTTGGGGTACATGCCCAACCCCCAGGGGCAGAGCCACGCCCATTTCCCATTTTCTTTTCGTGTGTCTTTGTGTCGCCTACAGGGCGCAATTCTTACTGGATTTTCTTCAAACTTGGTATACTTATTCCTTATACCCCAAGGAAGATCCCTATTGTTTTTGGTGCATGCCCGACCCCCAGGGGCAGAGCCACGCCCATTTCTAGTTCTATGTGCAGTAGGACTAAAATTGATGCTTTTCCGGTGACCTTTAAGTGATCATCTTGAAACTTTACATACTTATTCCTTATACCACGCCCATTTCTTGTATTGGTTTGTTTGTCGTCTACAGGCCGCATTTCTTAAAGTATCGTCTTGAAACTTTGCATACTTATTCTTTGTACCCAAAGAAACTTCTCTATTGTTTTGGGTGCATGCCCAACCCAGCAATCGGCAGAGCCACGCCCATTTTCTTTTTGTGTGTCTTTGTGTCGCCTACAGGCCGCAATTCGTAATCGATCATCTTGAAAAAATTTCATATGAATTCCTTATGCCCTAAGGATGATCCCATTTCTTGTATTTTTTTATTTGTCAACTACAGACCACATTTCTTAACTTTGCATACTTATTCCTTCTATCCTAAGGAACATCCCTATTGTTTGTGGTGAATGCTCACCCCCCAGGGGAGAGCCACACCCATTTTCTTTTTGTGTGTTTGTGTGTCATTTACAGCCCGCAATTCTTAATCGATCATCTTGAAAAATTTTTTATACTTATTCCTTATACCCTAAGGCTGACCTCTATTATTTTTGGTGCATGCCCGACCCCCTGGGACAGAGCCATGTCCAGTGTTTGTGTGTCATCTACAGGCCGCAATTCTTAACAGATTCTTTTGAAACTTTGCATACCTATTCCTTTTACCCTAAGGACGACCCCTATTGTTTTTTTTGGGATTGCCCAACCCACAGGGGAAGAGCCACACCCATTTTTTCTTTGTGTTTCTGTCTGTTACCTACAGGCCACGATTCTTAATGGGTCATCTTTGAACTTGGGATATGTATTCCTTGTAGCCTAAGGACAACAAATGCATGTCCCGACCCCCAGGGTCAGAGCCACGCCCAATCTTTGTGTTTATCGTTTACAGGCCGCAATTCTGAATGGATCAACTTGGTACTTGGCATATGTATTCCTTATGGCCTAAGGGTGTCAACTATTGATTTTGGTGAATGCCCCGACCCCCAGGGGCAGAGTCCGAAGGCCACAATTCTGAATGGATTATCTTAGAACCTGGTATACTTATTACTTATACCCTAAGGACAGCAACTATCAATCAAAGCAGGAATGTGGACGTATATTGCAGCCTTAGCGATGCTCTTGTTTTAATATATAAGTATTAATTGTTGATTTTGTATGAGAAAAGAGTCTGTCATCGCATTTTTAGTTTAATGTGAATGAAAAATTCATTATAATCTTTGAGTGGCATTTAGTGATTGATAACAATAAGAGAATACTTGTCGAAACGTTGTGCTATATGTGTATAAACCAGTGATTGTATTCCATATAAATTGTGTTGTGTTTTTTAAAAATTCATTAATTGATTTCTTCACTGAAATATTAAGTATCACTATATAATACTTGAATTTAATCAGTATTCATTCCTTAGATTTGATAGCTATGCAATTCTTAGATATGCAAAATTAAATATTGTTTTAAATATCAATTATGCTTAGAACACCCTCTGTTTTTAAAGGTAGTTCAGTCATCAGTGTGACATGACAGTGTCACTGACCACACACATTCACTGATACTGTTAATACTAGTTTTTATGGCCACAGTGACACTGTAACTAAAATTTAAAATATGAAATGATTAACTAATTATTATTATTTTTCCTTTTGATTAAAATTTTTCATCACGAATGTGTGTAAACTTTTATAAAAAAGGAGCACAATGAATTTGTGGAAATAAAAAATATATAGGGATAAAATGTAGACAAAAGGGTTTCAACAAATTTATGGAAATCTTATACTTTCATTATTCACATTATTCATATGAATAAATTATTCTGAAAAACATAGCATAATTAATTGATTTTAAGATGCATTATATGGTTTTACGTAACTTATTGGTGTGTCTCTGTCAGACAAATTAACTAGAGCAATCAGTAATGAAAACACCACTAGGTAACAGTGTGCGTGTGCAAAACTTGTCAACTTGTTGTGTTTCTATTTGTAGTTTCACTTCAGATCTGGGTTCATAAACAAGTTTATCTTCAAATCTTTTACAAAATAGCCATTTGCTCATCGTGTATATACAAGTACCAGATATATTAAGTTCTTTTTAATTTTTTAAGATTGATTATAAATAGGGAGAAGAATAAATGGAGACTGTCTGGCCTATGTTTTTTTAAAATGTTTATTAGCTGTATGTCTATATCTATCCTAATGTTGTTTTCCTATATTTGTAGGTTCCGATGTTGAAGCAGCGGGTGATCCAAGTTTGGTTCCTATGAACCCAGATTGGACAAACTGTTCTCATATGAAAGAGGAAAATGATAATAAGATTGTTGCCTGTATAAATGAAAACGTGAAAAACAAATCATTCTTCTATGAGCCAGAAATCAACAGGTTAACTCTCTGTTTTCTGAATGCAGACATGGAGGAAGATTTTCGAGATCATTATCTGGAGAGTAACTTGGGTAAAGAAGAAACGATGGCATCACCTCGGTATCACTCCCTTATAGAAGCTGTTTTATCCTTGATTGTGTTCATATTGATATCTATTTGTTGTTTCTTAGTATTTGGATATCATATTGTCTGGCTGTTTGTGTTTATTATAGCTCTTATTATTGAGATTCTCGTCCTCATCCAGTTGGCAACAGACGTTAAAATTGGATTGAAGAAAAAAGAAAAATGTAGCATGTTAATGCACATATTGTCTGGGTGGTACTTTCGCAACTCCATGGGAGCTGTCATTGCCATTATACCCATCATTGCTGTATACTCAAACCTGTCTTGTGAGCTGGCAACCAATGACCAATGGAAGGACCGATTTTTCTGTTTTACAGCAATTGTTGCACTGCTTCATTTCTGTAATTTTACAATGCTCAGCGCCTGGGTCAAGTCGTTCTTGGTAACAGTGGCAGGAATCGCTCTTTTAATATTGCTCAGTGTCCGTTTTTGTCCACCAGAGGAATTTGTTCATGTTAAGCCAATAGTCACCTTATTTGCCAATACTACTTCCGCAAGTCCAACTTATAAAGTCAACCAATCTACTCTGTCAGATCATTTGTTCTCCGGTGAGAATAATTTACGTTACGAAATTATACTAGACATTATCCTCCTTCTTCTCTTGATACTCTTTATAAGTAGAGAATTTGAAATCAGCTACAGACTAAGTTATTTTGGAAGTTCTCAATCTGAGAAACAGAGAGTTCAGATGATGGAAAACAAGGAGCAAGCTGAATGGTTGTTACACAATATTGTTCCAGCCCACATAACTGCAATAGTAAAGCAAACTTCAACATATTCTAAAAATCATAAAGATATAGGTGTTATATTTGCTACCATTGTCAATTTTAATGATTTTTATGATGAGTCATATGAAGGAGGTCGAGAGTATTTGAGGGTTTTGAACGAGCTGTATAGCGATTTTGAGGATCTGCTGGATGAGCCACGTTTTAAGGACGTTGAAAAAATTAAAACAATCAGCAGCACTTTCATGGCTGCCTCAGGACTGAATGAGCAAAATCGTGCAAAAAATAAGAACCCGAATGCCCATCTATATGCTCTATTAGAGTTTGCACAGGAACTTCAGAATAAAATTGGACAGTTCAATGATAGTATTTTTAACTTTGATTTTCAAATGAAAATAGGGTATAATTTCGGAGAAGTCACCGCTGGTGTTATTGGAACAACTAAACTACTATACGATATCTGGGGAGATACTGTCAACATCGCTAGTCGTATGTACTCTACCGGAGAAATGGATCAGATTCAAGTCCCAGAATCTACAGTACAACGCTTGGGAGACAAATTTTCATTTGGAAATGAAAGAAAAGTTTTGGTGAAAGGAAAAGGGGAGATGAAAGTTTATTTTTTAGAAAAGAAAATAGAAGGAGCAACATGGGAATAATACTATTGTTAATAGTTTATATTTATTGAGATGATATATATGTTAAATATTTATCATGTTATTTATTAAACCATCTTGTAAATAGTATGTGTATTAATATTAATGCAACTGTTTACATTTAATACATTTTTGCCCTGTTCGCATTACTTACTTGTTGTACATTAACTTTACCAAGCCTCTTAGGATTTTGTGAACAATAGTATGTATATATAGCCTATCAGTATATACAAATAGATATATTAGAGACCAGAAATGTGTATTAAAAATACCTGGTAAGTAGTTTTGCAGTATATAAAGGAAACTACTAATTTTAATACAAATTTCTGTAATAAATCAAGCATAAACTTTTCAAAACCATCAAATAATCAATTATGATTAAGTAAAATGTAATCAATGTCCTTGAAAAAAAAAATTGCGTAATTATCTGGTTGATAGCCTTCTGATCTGTTTAAATGGAAAAAGTCACAGTGCCGACAGATAGATATGGCCGGTTAGATTCATTTCAAGGCGTATTTCTGGTTGCATTAAATTTTTGTTTTAATTATTTTAGAATATTTGTTAGTGTTGCCTTAATGGTGATACATATCAATTTGAACAAGGCCTTTGCCACATAGCTGTCTCCATAACTCTTACTGGTAATGTAAGCTTAATGTGATATATGCAAGAATTGAGGCTTAATCAATGGTAGTCTATAAAGACTACGATGGAACCTCTAGGCTTTGGTCCGCATGTAAATCATCATATTTTTTTTTTCATTTTGGGTGTTTATTTTTGCAATGTCTATAGCCTGTCTTGTCCGCAGGTTTATCTTGTAGATTTTCGTTTTGTGTGTAGTTCAGTCCTGCTGCACTTACTAATAGTCTTTACAAAATGTTTGTTAGCGGGAGTCGACAGAACCATCACAGTTGTTAACTCCTGTTGTCACATAAAAAAATATTAGTGAGAGAGGCTTGTCAAATTTCAACCTTTTATGGAGACATATGGTCTTATTTAACTTGACTGTTGAATTTATATTTTAATTTTTCTAGAAGTTTACTTCATCAGCTTTTAACAGATGTGAAAATAGTGTACCTGTACAAGAGTTGCTTCCCTTATTTAGTATGCAGGCATTGAACATACCCGGTAATTATATTAGTGGGATTGTTGTGTTGTAGTAGTTTTAAGATCCGAATCGATTCCCAAGTTTAAAATAATAAAATATTATGGAGTGCTATAGATTGAGATGTAGAATTTGATTATGTAGAGAACTTTCTAGTGAAATATGGAATGAATTACTACTATATGTCCGTAATTAATTGATGTATAGCTTATTACAAGAATCTCAAATTCAATAATGGAGGCTTTTATTTATTGATAAGTTTTTTTTAAATATCAAGAAATTCCAGGAAGGTAGAATGCTTGTTAATTAATGGAAATAACCAATGGTAATTGAACAATTAATAAAGGTTCATAATTCCTATCCATTGTCCTGATCCCTTTGTAAATTATTTGCAATAAAATATGTTTAAACTAACAAAAAGCATGAAAATGTTGAGAAAATAAAACCATTATAATTTATTAAACTTTTGATTGAAATTTCATTAAATTGTAATAAATATTTTAATTACATTAACGTATATCTATATATTGCCTGTCAACTCATATTTTGTACATAAATAAACTCATTCATAATTCTAAAAACCTAATGTATTATATAATATTTATGTTCTTTTTAATATATTTAATCTTATTTCATATATCCTCTAAGAATTATTCATTCTAATATAATTTGTATACTTCTTTGAACAAGTGATGTTTGTGTTAGACATTGTTCAAAAATAAGACTGTTGTTAAATGTTAGCATCTTTAAAATGTATGGTAAACCATTCTTAGAATATATATCTTATGTAATATTGTAGTCTTAACCAAAGTATATGCAATGGTTAGACCCATTTTCAATGTCTTGGGGGGGAAAAAAAAGACACAAAAGAGACAATTTTCAACTTGGAAAGGTTGTCGTTTGGATTGTTGGTAAACTTTATTTATAAATTTAACTTATTAATCCTAATTACAAAATATAATGAGGTCTATAAAGTTTATCTAGAAATTGAATAAATAGTGTGTTGATTTGACTACAGGGATTAAAGAGAGTTACTGTGTATTTTCGTTACTTCAATATTTTTTTTTGATTTGTTATAATTAATATAAAGCTTTTCAATATATATACACATATTGTAAATATACACATAGATATAGTATATGTACAGTTTAAATAATATTACTTATATTGGTGCAAACTTTTATTACTTATAGCACCGTCCTTTTAATCTCTAAATGTTGGAAGTTTTTATAGCTGTATTTTCTTGTACATAGTTGTTTATGTACTGGTCTCCAATCCATTATACCGTTCCTAGAAATTCCAAGTTAAACCATTTAAGTTACACCAAGCTAAGTTAAACCATTTTACCAATCTGACTAAAACACAGATCCTATTCGTTTCGTTTTTTATAGCTCAAAATTTTGTTTTGTCTGTACTACACTAGGATCTGGAAGAGTTGTTATATAACAGGCGTTCTGGATCGCGCAAGGGATTAGCCAATGAAACCATCTGTTATGGGGACTTCTTGGCGTGCCATGCACAGAACTGTGGGTAAATCACTAGAAACGTCAACGCTGATTGATTAATCAATGTCTGAAGTCATAAGGTTAAAAGCCGCTCATAACGACCCCTGACACGACTGGTCAGATCTTGTTGTAGTGTAGCCCATCGAAATATAAATAAACGAAACGAAATATATATCTGTATTTTAATCAGATTGACCATTTTACCATCAATAATAGCTTCTTAATACAAAACAGCAAATACACAATGGAAAAATATATGGCATTTTTTTATCTAGTAGATGAATTATTGTTAAAAATGTATTATCCAACGGATAACTAAAACAAGGACAGAAGATGTTTTCAAAGGAATTGAAAGTATGTATTCTGTTGCATGTAGAATTATTTATTACTTAAAGATGCATTATGTAAGAGCTTAACCTGCTAATGCAGATCTTTCGTTTGACCTAAAATGTTATATAAATCATTAGTTAGACATTTATTCAAATGCCAAGCTCTAGACCATCAGATGCTTTTCATTTTCAATGGATTTAAACATGATTACTAGTTAATGATTTAATTATAAAATGGTTAATCGAGACTTTGTTTATTATCGTAAGAACGGTAGAAATGACAATCGAAGTAATTTGACTGAAATTTTCAACATATTCCCTTTTCATTATCTATTTTTTTAACTATTATAGCGAGAACTGTCAACTCTTTATCAAAATCTTACATAATGCATCTTTAAACAAACCATCCCACCTTTGCACAAATCTTTTACAAATTTGCATAACTATGTACAATGTTACCAATATTAGCATAAAAACAAACAGATAAAAGTGTTTGACTGTGTGAATATACTGTGCAAAGGGTTTGGTTCCATTCTTTGATGAACTGGGTTCAATATTCAGGTTTGCACTATATTCACTTTTGTATAATATTTGTTATAGAATTAGATATTGTTGTGTATACATTTTATTTATATAAAAACCCCAACTTCATTTATCATTTCGATATCATTGAAATAACATGATTAAATGCCATCATGTATCAACCAATAATTTACAATAGAACTTGAGAGGCTGTCACCATTATGCTGTGTTCAGTAGCCTCAAATATAAAATTAATATCAAATTTAGAATATCAAATTTTGTCTGAGCATTATGTATACTTTAAGAAAATGTTTCGTTTTTGAAATGAAAACCGACATCTGCATTTAATTTGGTTAAAAATATAATTGTCAATTTTATTGGATGTTTTATGTCGATATTGTCAACACAATATACCCTTAATTAGTAAACCATAACACACCAATCAACCCAATTCAATACTTTATATTTACTTAAATCAATAGGTTTAGCTCACTTTAAAACTTTGAGAGTGGATTTTATACTAATATATACTATACTATTCAAAAAAAGTAGGGGATATTTGATTTTGGGGGCATAATACTAAAATATGCAAATGACTACGAAAAAAGTCACTATAGAACCTAACAGAAGAAACATTTCCAGTTACATGTGACGCCCAAACGCGCCAATAGCTACCGCATGGAATGCAGGTGATGCTTGGGATCATCATGGGGGTCCAACCCAAGATTTGCACGACTCTGACTTTGAATGTTACAGTCATTGTGGCATTGAATTCCAGGGTGGAAACATCAGTTTAATTGTTTTAGTGACCAGAAAACAAATTTTGATATGCGTCGGCTTACCCAAAATGAAAGGTTACGTGCCCTTGGCATGCTACAGATCGGCACAACACAGGCGGTTGTGGCGCGGACGATGAATGTTTCTCAGTCTGTCATAAGCAGGCTATGGTCCAGATACCGTGATACACAATCTGTACAGGACAGACCACGCTCAGGTCGACCAAGGGCGACAACTCAAGCCCAGGATCGATTTATCCGTACCTTGGCCTTGAGAAATCGTGTCATCACAGCAAATCAGATCAGCGCTCGTCTTCAAACAGACACTGGTGTGAGAGTGAGTGGCCAGACGATTCGGAATCGACTGCATAGGGGTCACCTTCGCGCCCGACGTCCTCGCGTGATCCCTTGTTTGAGAGATCATCACATTCAGGCAAGACGTCGTTGGTGTAGGGATCGTCAACACTGGGATAATCGACGCTGGAGCAATGTGATGTTTTCAGATGAGTCAAGGTTCACTGTTGATTTTTTGGACAGACGTAGGAGGGTGTGGCGTCGTCGAAACGAGCGCTTCCAAGACGTTAACGTCATCAGACATGATCGATTTGGGGGTGGTTCTGTTATGGTGTGGGGAGGCATCACTGTTGCTGGAAGAACGGCTTTACATGTTGTTGCAGGGCGTGTTACAGGCCAGTACTACCGGGACAACATCTTGGCAGTCCATGTTGTGCCGTTCGCACGACGTCATGGCCGCCGTTTCATCTTCCAGGATGACAACGCAAGATGTCACAGGGCCAGGATCGTTACAGGTTACCTCCAACAACAGAACATCACCACATTACCTTGGCCAGCACTGAGTCCCGACTTCTCCCCCATCGAGCATGTCTGGGACATGCTTGGACAGAGGTTACGTCAACGTCAACAACGTCCTGCCAATGTCCAAGAACTTGCTGCTGCGTTTCAACAGGAATGGGACAATCTGGACCAAAATGACCTTAGACGTCTCATTAGGAGTATGCCACGTCGGATCAATGCTTGTTTGGCAAACAGAGGAGGATTTACCCGTTACTGGCTTGGTTGTGATGCTGTGGTAATTTTGCTGTTTGACCCCGGGTATCATTTTACCCTTATAATGGTCAGTCTGTGCCTTACTTAGTCTAACGATCATTTGGAATAAATCGATGAATGTGAACTTCATTTCATTTTGTCATTTGTTTCTTCGTCAGTTTCATTAGGTGACTTTAATAACACTTAAAAATCAAATATCCCCTACTTTTTTTGAATAGTATAGTAACTGATTGTTATATATTAATCACTGAAATTATTCTATTAGATGTTGTTCTTGAAACCTATAACATTAGTACAAAACCAACTATTTTATACTATATAGAATATTATTTATTGTAAAATATTTTATTATAGTTTAATCAACATTATTATTACACCCATAGATAAATTAAATGTTATACTTGATACTACTATATTAAACACCTTTTGTTGTCAGCTTTTTGTCATATTTAACTTTAAATACAGAATTATTTCCTTTTTGTCCTCAAAATTAAATTATACATGAAAACATTGAGTTTAAATACAACCTTCATAAAAAAAGGGCCAGATTATATGAAAAAGATAAAATCTTCAAGATACATTGTCCTGAAAGTATTTATCGGTTGTTATTTCCAATAAAAGTATGGCAAATTTGGTAGTATGGAAAGTATAGACACCTAATCTTACTAAAAAAAAATACTGGATTACCCGTAAAACACCCATGGAGCAAACACTGGGCAAAAATGTCAGGGTATCACTAATTGGCACCCGACTGTTGTCTGTTAGCTTTTTGTGTGCGAGCTTGACTGAGGGAGCGGATATTATTTCTTGATCAAATGATTAGGCTGTTTTGGGAACATTGAGGGGTGAACAAAAGATTCTGCAATTAAATGGCAGAAAAAGAAGATGACAGAAGGTATTTAAAAATTTACTTAGGCCTTAGTATGTTTGGTAAATGTGCAGGAAAAAATGATAAATACTTTCTGAAACATGGACCCTCCCACAATGAAGCTAAGGTGATAAACATGGCGTCTAACAACAGTTTATTTATAGCTATAGGTATCCCTGGCAAATACAAAGTTTTGCGAGGGAATTGAAGCAAATTTTTGGTAAGATTGATTATTTTGAATCTGTTTTTAGTCTAAATATATCATGAAATCACACAGTTTGTATGCGGGGAAAAAAACTTTAAATAACCACAAGTTAATTCTGGCATGTTGGGGCATGAATTGGAGAAGGTATTGTTATATTCTGTTGAATTGTATACATTTTTCCTTAGAAAGCTATCAGATTTAATTCTGATGAAAATTTTTATTAAGATAGCACTAGGGTCAGAAATACACTTTTTAAGAGCTAATTTATTGTTTTATCCCCCATCTCTGTAGAAACCATTGATTTTATTATTGTTTTTTGAGTATGTTTGTAGTAAATATATAATATTATGTTTTTGTTTTATTAGCTTGTTGTTAGCCTATCCTGTCTTTAAATTGCTCAAGTAAAAGCCAGTTGGCAAAGTTTTCTTGTGTTTTTCTTGCAATTTTCTTATTTCGGGAAGTAGTCCTTTCAACAAGAATATGAGATAAGAGAGATTAAGCTCATGTATCATGCCCCTTTTGGAGCCAGTCTAATTAAAACCATAGCAACACTTTGTTCCACTTTATGGGGTGCATTCAGTATAAGCAAATTGTAATTGGTTGACTCCAGATCAGCTAATCAAAACATGTGATACAAAAAATCTTGACCCGCCCTTTGATTACGAAGGAATTTGATTGGCTGTTTAAACATACATTATGCAAGAGCTAAATCTGTCTATTGTTATCTAAATTATTAATTAGACATTAATTAAACTATCCAGGCCATAATCAACTCTAGATAGCAGCGCTAGCCTGCGATCTTTAGTGGATTGTAAGCCGATTTACTGCATAACTTTCCTTCTCGATTAAACGATTAAATGGATAATCGAGACTATGCTGTTTATCGTACTGACTTTAGTAATGATGACCAAGGCTTATGGGAATTTCAGTCGCTTAGTTCTCGGTTCATCGTGGATCAATTTGAATGAAATTTTCACCAAATTGCCTTTACATTATCTAGTTTTTAACTATTATAGTGAGAACTGCCAACTCGTTACCGAATCTCCCATAATGTATCTTTAATTATGCTTTTCTTCACAAAAGAACATACATATGATTTTGTCAGCGAAATTACTTCAGTGGTAGCGGATGTTAAATAAAGCTACTTCAACACACACACATCTGATTATTGTAATGAAATCTAGTGCATAGTACAAAATCTCATCTTGTGAGGCTGACAAAGTATTGCCTAAATGGTTTGATTGGGATGAAAAATCAAGGTCCACGTGTGCACATAACAGAACCTTTGACAGTGGCAATCTGTTGAATTACAGCCATAAGCACTGCTGTTAAGAAAAAAACTATTTTCGATAGCATTGCATATTTGACCATTGTCCTAACAAACATTTATGAATAATCTATGGTGTCTACAGAGTAAAATGTTTGTAGTTGAAGTCTATTTAAAGGGAATGGAAGATTATCGACCCTATTTCCCGAAGCTAACAACCACTTCTGGATTCCTAATATTGGTCTCTGTTAAACCCAAAAATTTCTGACACGAAATTTTTTTAATGTGATATCTGCTTTGATCCTTCGCAGTTCATTTATATTAATTTCATGCATGCAGTAATTTTAAGATCTGCAGACATGATTCTATCTTTTCTTGAGTATATCCTGATGTTTCTAGACACACAAATTTAGCACGTGTCAATCTTACCAAGGGTCCCCAAACAACGCATAAACATTAACTTCTTTAGGGGCCCCCCATACTTGCGGACTCCTTCTCAGTATAACCCTACTCCTTGTCTACAATGACATTCTCTGTGGAAATCTGCTTTAGGATCCATTCCTCTTCATACTCAAATTATTGCAAAATGATCAGGTTTTTAGGGAACAGGTGCATTTGAAACCAAGTACAAACTAATATACTAATGGGTAACAGAATTATTATTACTTTATTTGTCTTTGAGAAATAAAGATGGCAGTGTGAAATCAATAGAAAACAATATTGGCTTTCAATGTTCTTTGCTTTATCGTAATTGCAGGAGAATGGCACAACACAGACATAACACACAGACATTGGAAGTAATACGTAAGATAGGTTGCCAGGCAATGAAACATACGCCCACAGCCGCCAAGTCGTCCAAACAGTCAACAAGGGTTGTCGCATATTTTTATACGCCCACATTTTCATGTGAAACTTCCAATCAGTAGAAACAGGAAACACAAACCAAATACAGACGGTTTGATGGGATCAATTTTGACTAAGTCAAAATGATGCATTTGATATTCAGATAAGTTGATATAAAATAATTAATAGAATACAGTATCAAAAAAACATCGTTTTATCCAACGTTTCGTCAGTAAAAATACTAACTTCTTCAGGAACGAAGAACTAAATTCAAAATGACTGGAAGTCAGTTATGACATCATAGGAAGTTATGACATCATAGGAAGTTATGACATCGTGGGGGTGATGACATCATAGACTTAGATACATAACGTGAAAGATTAGCTTAACTAAAACTTAGGTAAAATTTTACAAGTAAGGAAAACTTATGCATGATTATGAATGATTTTGAAACCCCCTGGATTTAACTCATTTAAACCGTTAGGCCAAACTGAATCAAGTCTATGAATCCACAGACTTTCTGCTGTGTTCAATTTTTTCTGATCTTTATCATGAATTTTTTGTACTATGGTACACACGAAATCATGACCCGGTATATTAAAATGGGAGGCTACATGGGGGGAATGGCCAGGTTTTTTAAGCTTTATATTACTTCTGTGCTTATTAAGTCGAGTGCTGTTAAACAATATACAACATAAGAACTGGCACAGTTGACAGAGTCTCTAATCTTGAATGATTTCATGTCTTTACTGGTTACTTCTTGATTATTACACATAGTCTCGCATGATTTGCATAATTTTCGTAAACAAGGTTGACATCCGTATGAAATTATGTTCTTAATATGCTTATTACTAGTGTCAGAAGTTCTCAACTTATTTTCTTTCAAGATATTGCCAATAGTGTAGTTTTTCCTCTCTGCTATTATTATTTTGCTGCTATTCATAATTTTCGTCATACGTGAACTTGTATCTAAAATACTTCGGTCTTTAATCATTTGGTGAAGGTGAGGTTGTCTAGGGTCAAAGGTAGTAGTCCATGGAATAATGTTCACATTCGTATCAGTCTTGGATTGGTAGGTAAGTAATTCAGTCCTGGTCTTCTGATCTGCGCGTTTAAATGCCTTTAGAATAATTTTCTTGGGATATCCGGATTGTTTAAGATAGGATCCAAAATTTTTTAGGTTTGATTTGGTCCAGCTATCTTTACTACAAATCCGTTTTATACGTAGAGCACCACTGTAAGGGATAGCGTTAAAGGTGTGTTTGGGATGACAACTTGATGGAGGAAGATAATGATGGCAATCTGTTCTCTTGGAATATAGATTTCTTTGACAACTTTTACATCTAGGAAATTAACTGAGTTACTATACTATTCAAAAAAAGTAGGGGATATTTGATTTTGGGGGCATAATACTAAAATATGCAAATGACTACGAAAAAAGTCACTATAGAACCTAACAGAAGAAACATTTCCAGTTACATGTGACGCCCAAACGCACCAATAGCTACCGCATGGAATGCAGGTGATGCTTGGGATCATCATGGGGGTCCAACCCAAGATTTGCACGACTCTGACTTTGAATGTTGCAGTCATTGTGGCATTGAATTCCAGGGTGGAAACATCAGTTTAATTGTTTTAGTGACCAGAAAATAAATTTTGATATGCGTCGGCTTACCCAAAATGAAAGGTTAGTGCCCTTGGCATGCTACAGATCGGCACAACACAGGCGGTTGTGGCGCGGACGATGAATGTTTCTCAGTCTGTCATAAGCAGGCTATGGTCCAGATACCGTGATACACAATCTGTACAGGACAGACCACGCTCAGGTCGACCAAGGGCGACAACTCAAGCCCAGGATCGATTTATCCGTACCTTGGCCTTGAGAAATCGTGTCATCACAGCAAATCAGATCAGCGCTCGTCTTCAAACAGACACTGGTGTGAGAGTGAGTGGCCAGACGATTCGGAATCGACTGCATAGTGGTCACCTTCGCGCCCGACGTCCTCGCGTGATCCCTTGTATGAGAGATCATCACATTCAGGCAAGACGTCGTTGGTGTAGGGATCGTCAACACTGGGATAATCGACGCTGGAGCAATGTGATGTTTTCAGATGAGTCAAGGTTCACTGTTGATTTTTTGGACAGACGTAGGAGGGTGTGGCGTCGTCGAAACGAGCGCTTCCAAGACGTTAATGTCATCAGACATGATCGATTTGGGGGTGGTTCTGTTATGGTGTGGGGAGGCATCACTGTTGCTGGAAGAACGGCTTTACATGTTGTTGCAGGGCGTGTTACAGGCCAGTACTACCGGGACAACTTCTTGGCAGTCCATGTTGTGCCGTCCGCACGACGTCATGGCCGCCGTTTCATCTTCCAGGATGACAACGCAAGATGTCACAGGGCCAGGATCGTTACAGGTTACCCCCAACAACAGAACATCACCACATTACCTTGGCCAGCACTGAGTCCCGACCTCTCCCCCATCGAGCATGTCTGGGACATGCTTGGACAGAGGTTACGTCAACGTCAACAACGTCCTGCCAATGTCCAAGAACTTGCTGCTGCGTTGCAACAGGAATGGGACAATCTGGACCAAAATGACCTTAGATGTCTCATTAGGAGTATGCCACGTCGGATCAATGCTTGTTTGGCAAACAGAGGAGGATTTACCCGTTACTGACTTGGTTGTGATGCTGTGGTAACTTTGCTGTTTGACCCTGGGTATCATTTTACCCTTATAATGGTCAGTCTGTGCCTTACTTAGTCTAACGATCATTTGGAATAAATCGATGAATGTGAACTTCATTTCATTTTGTCATTTGTTTCTTCGTCAGTTTCATTAGGTGACTTTAATAACACTTAAAAATCAAATATCCCCTACTTTTTTTGAATAGTATATTTATATCTACAGTAAATTTGATCTTTGGATGTTGTTGGTTTAATTTTGAAACAATATTATTACATTCTTCTAGTGGGAGAGAAGATAAAGCCCAAATATCATCGATGAATCTGCATGAAATATCTGGTTTATTAGGTAATGGTTCATAGTAGGTTTTCATCCCGTATGACATATAAATGTTAGCATATGTCACAGCAAACGGAGTTCCCATGGCAGTCACCGATATCTGTTTATAAAATATACCAGAAAATTCAAATTCATTGTTGTGAAGAACAAAATCTGCTATTTGTAGAATTTTCATGTGGACGTATAATGTCGTCGCCCCTGTCCATCTGGACGTCTGTCTGTCTACAATTTGTTTGTGAACACTCTACAGGTCACAATTTTTATCTGATTTCAATTAAACTTGAAAAAT